TTGAAACACTTTGTATTCATATTTTTGATAATATAAGCTGTGAAACTCGGTTCTCATCTTCTCTACCTTTGTCTATTATCAGACTACTGTTCGATGTGTGTGGGAGAACGATGCATGGCATGTACACACTTGCGTGAGATGGTCTCCAGGACACATGCAATACTGTGTATGGACTATCTTTGCTTCATTGTTTCTTGGATGTGATCTACTCGGCTTTCCTTTGTGACTGGTTGTGAGGATTCTGTGGAGCGAATTTCACTTTCAGTGTTTTCTGTCATATCGCATGGTCAAAAATTCCGCTGTGTTTATCTCTCCCTCTGCGGTGTGATACTCCCATGCTCTCCCCTTCCATCTGTGTATGTATGGGCATACCTGGAAGTTTATGTGAGCGAGTGTTGGTCTTTTGACAACAAGCAACCAGGATCAATAGCCGGGCAGCTGGGGTGCAGGGCAGGTGATGACCAAGGTGGTCTTCGGGTAGGAGGCGCATGCTGTGGGAAGACGAGGGGTGACGAGGGAAGGAGAGAGAACTTACCTGGTGTATGCTGGTGGCCGACATTGGTGTTGACGTCACTTACATTGGTCTTCGATTTCAGAGTGATCCAGTTGCAAGAATGTAGATAGGCTAGATATGCTGAGGAGGATTTGCTGGGCACTGGGTGCCAGACAATACGTGCGACATTGGATACAGTGTTAGTGTGACCAGAGAGTGGCGACATTGACATGTGAGTTCATTGTATTGCTCTTATTTGGATGGTATCTTGGTGCATTGCACTCTTTGCTTGGTTCATGACTATCTGAGCTTCTTCGTGATTTTGCAACTTGGATTTCTGTCTATCGCTCTTGCTCATATTCCTTGCGCTAATGAATTTCATGGGTTGGAAAAAAAGAAAGAGCACTCGTCTGAGAGGTGCTTTGACATGAGTTCTCCAGGAAAAAAAGGCGATCCATTTGGTGAGATCTGTGTCTTAGCACTCTCAGACACATGCCTGCACTACGCACAGTTTTTTTTTTTTTTTACGGGCGTGTGACTTGTTGGTGTGGCGCTGAATCTAAACGGGTGTATTTTCTGCTTTGACAGGGCGATGAGCCGTCAGTTTGACAGGATGGAGTGTGAACCTCAATGCGGATTGCATGGTCCAGGACGCGGGTGAAGACATTGAGCATGACTGGCCTGAGCGAAGCTGCTTGCCACAATAGGGAGAGCTTGACGCAGCTGGATTTCCCTCAGTGTAGCTGCTCTTTTGATCACTATAAACCCTAGCCCACTTCGTGCCCAGGATGAAGTTGTCCTGTGTTCATCATTGGCCTATGTCTCACAGATGTGGCACACACGGGGTTGTTGGTTGTTCGCATGATTCAGCATGGAGTTTGGGAGAGTAGTGTATCAACAATGTGGAAGAATGGCGTGATTGGGTGCGGGAATTTGTGGGCAAGGACAGCGGCATTGTTGCGCATCCGCGTGCACTGTCTCGCACGCCTGCACAGACAGGACACGGTTGTCCTCTGTTGATCTGTTCATTGGGATGCCTCAGGGCAGTGGCACACACAAGGTTGTTGGTCGTTCGCAGGATTCTGCATGGAGTTTGGGAGAGTAGGGTATCAGCAACGTCGAAGAACAGCGTGATTGGGTGCGGGAATTTGTGGGCAAGGGTAGCGGAACTGCAGTGCATGCGCGTGCACCGGCTTGCACGCCTGCACAGTCGGACGTAGTGGCTCCGGCCTGCAGTGCTGCAGCGCGGGAGAACAATGGCATTTGAAGGTTACCAAAACCCTAGGACGGCACTGTTCCATGTCTTGTTCAAGGGGTTGGCAGTTGCATTCTACATATGTTGTAAATGGATATCGTCGAGCTTTGTTATCCATTTTGTGGTGTGCGTGTTATTGTTAGCACTTGATTTCTGGACTGTGAAAAATGTCAGCGGTAGGCGACTTGTGGGCCTTCGATGGTGGAACGAGACCGATGAGAATGGGGAGAGCGTGTGGAGGTTCGAGTCTCTCGATCAGCAGGCGATGGAGCAGTTGCACAGCAAGGACGCATGGTTATTTTGGTCAGCAATCGTCGCAAGCCTTGGAGTCTGGGTATTGTTTGGAATTGTCGCCATCTTGAACTTCTCACCCAATTATCTTCTAATAGTTGGGATTGCAATAGTATTGAATGGCGCCAACATTATCGGTTTTTTCAAATGCAGGAAAGATGCGAAGGCCAAGCTTCAAGGCTTGGCAACTGAGGCGATGGTGTCCCACCTAACGCCAAAGATACATAATCTTTTTTCAGCTTAGTGATATGGTCCCCCATCCCCGCTGCGGCCACCATAGCTGATGATGATGCTGCGTAGAGCGTCCTTGCTGCCATGTCGCCTTCTTGCCCGGGCAAGAGCCGGTGCAGACTTCCTGTGAGGGGGAGACAAGTTTGCTTTACAAATGTGCTGGATGGGTGATTAGGCACATAACAGTTGTTTCTGGCTCAGCGCAGACGCAAGCCTATATTTGTCCGGATGGTGCTTCGCTGCATTCCCTCGGAACCCGCCTCCTTTCCTTGCCTGCGCATTTAGTCTCCGCTCCTTTCACTTCCCTGTGCCTCATCTTTGCTCTTGACATGTCTACGGACCGCAATGTTGGTTGGTGCTAGCTACTGGGTGCTGATGATGTTTCCTCATCATTCTTTCCTGAGCAGCGGAAGCAAACTGCAAGGACATCCCGGGGCGAATGGAACTGTACAGCCCGGGATGGAATCAAACTGAAGGGAGTACTCAGTTTATCCGACTGGGAAATCTATGTTGAAGCTCTTTGAGCAGTGCGGGAGGTCATGCAGGTGCCGATGGCTGGATGAGGAAGGATGGCTGGATGAGGAAGGAAGAGGGAGGCATAGCAGGTGCTGCGCTCACTAGCGAGAGAATGGAAGGGGAGGAGGTGGCAATGGAAGGGAGAAGGTAGGGAGAGGGAGAGGGAACAGGTGCCCATGGTGAGGCAAGGAAAGCAGAGGGAGATAGATGGGGGTCAGAAAGGAAGCGCACGGAACGCGGAAGATTTTGGCTTGGGGAGGAGCTGGGCAGATATCTCAGAAGTTTTTTTTTTTTTTTTTTTTTTTTTTTTTTTTGTGTGTGTGTGTGTGTGTGTGTGTGTGTGTGTGTG